GCATACTTTTCTCATATGGCAGAGGGAGCACGCAGCTGGGTCTGTTGGGAGGCTAGGGTATTTTGGTCTTTCAGGAGAAAGATGCAAAAAAGTAAAGAAGAAAAGCAGAGCTGAAGAAGCAAGCTGTTGTCCTGGAGAAGACCAATCAGGAAGATTTGTCCTGTACCAGCACTGACTAGATTTGCACGTTTCCTGACCTATCCCTTAGTTTTCAGAATCAGGGCTCCTTTTCTCCTAACAAACTAAGATGTCTTGTCTACAAGGCAGCAAGAGCACGGACTGATAAAAAGAACACCATACTGATGGCTACTCTGTGCTACAGTGCCTGCTCAGGCTCAACAGATGAATACACACATGTTCGTAGGAAGGCAAAATCTAGCAAAGCCATCACACTTCAGTCAGGGCGTCAGGTGATGGGCTCAAACACAGAACTCCATTGTGCACACAAACAGAAAGAAGGGTTTCTGTAAAGAAAAGCTAATACACTTTGCTACCCATCAAGACAGATGATATTCCAATAGTGTTTTATCTTAGGAATATCTTTATGCGTTTGTAACATTAGCTGCTTGCTTAGTGTTCCCAACAGGATGGCAGTGCACCTCTCTAACCCCCACAAGGAAGGTATGAGCAAAGCATAAGAACGAAGCCCACCACTTGACTGCTCCTCACCATATAAACCAATGATATAGGGAGACCTAATCTCTCAATGGTTTCTTCCCCCTTTGGTATATGGGTACAGCAGCAGCTGATCAGACAGCATGGAAGAGCATGGTGCTTTGCCACTCAGTGGAACACACATAATTAGCCAGCCAGTCACATGCCTAATGCACGACTAAACACAGCATCCCAGAAAAGTTTTCCAAACCAACACGGAAAATTGAGGCAGGAAGCTATGACACAGAGCTGAATGTTACAGCCACAACTTAGATGGTAAGCAGAGAGCAATAGTATACTTTGCCTTCAACAGTAATTGTAGGCTTGAAAAAGAAAGACTAATAACATCTTAGGAGAAGTGATCTGAGAAGGCTTGTGCACATATGCTTGTGCGCATCACCCAGACCACTGCCATAGAGTCAGGGGAAAAAGGGGGGGAGCAGAGCAGAGGCACAAGCTTTGCACAAGTGATAGCAGAGGGCAAATAACGCAGCTTAAAAACCACACACAACTAAGTGAACACAAGACAGGCAAGGGATTTTAATCTGAAGAACAATTCTCCAGACAGTTTCTTTAAATTCCCTCTTCACCCCAATGACAGACAACCTGCAAAGGCTGCACACCTTTTTTGTTTGTTGTTCAGCAAGTTCTTGACCTTTAACACTTTCCTTCAGCTAAACTGCAAGATTCCTGGAATATTCTGCACCAGGCTCTTCCAAGATATTGGTGGTACCTCAAGACCATACAAAAAATTCCTACGTCACAGCAAAGAAAGAGAAGTGCAAAAGGCCACTGTCTCACTCAGGGGAACTACAAAGCCCTGCTCTCCCCTCAGCCAATGTTTTCATGTAACTATTGACAGTTACCTAACCATTGCCCCAGCACATACTGACATGACAAGAGATTATATTTGTTGCAACTGTGGGAGTTGCTAAGCGAATTCTGGACTGGGCTCTAGTGCTGCAGTGGATCCTTCTAACACCAATCTCTGTGGACCAATAAGACCCTCAAGAGCCAGACGCAGCTTAGGATGTCCCATCAGCAGATTCCAACACAACATCAAGAGCCAAAACCACAGATAGATCAAACCCAATTCCTGCTTATTGCTTTTGCTTTTCCCTAGACTAGGAAACTCTCAGACAGCCATGGGATCTAATAAAGGGTGAGATGGCATGGAACCAAAAGTCTCGACCCTTCTATGTTATAATTTACTTCTCTGCACACGACAATCCAGACCAGAGATGTGAACACGGAGCTCTGTTTAGACCCGTAAATAATCTCTGACCTGTTCAGACTGGTATTCATCATTTCACATGACTGTAAGTTATTTTACATGCTACGCTAACAATAGTTTTGTCAGTAATACAGTCAGAGGTTTTTCTTCTTAAGCCCATGTATTATACTAATGACAGTTCAGGAGAGGAACTTGTATTTTTAGCTGCACTTTTTTGGTAATTTGCAAGGGTTTCATTATTTCCTTCCCTCCAATTAATATGGTACAGACAGCAGCTGCCACTGTTAACAAAAAAAAAAAAAAAAAGAAAGAAAGAAGTGGCAGTATCCCTCCAACTCACAGGCCAACAATAGCATACAGTTCAGCAGTGTTCTGTAAAGACCAGAACAAAACTAACAAGCAGTGCCAGTTTCACATAGTCTGTCGATCCAATTTTAACACAAGAGCTGAAAAGAATAAAACCCTTGACAGAAACAACTGGACCTTACTTGAGTCCTCACCACTTGCTATGCCTCAAAAAACCCTTAAAGACACAAGCCTCTAGGTGCCATTTTCATTACTGCTTATGGCTGATGCTTGCAGCAGCCTTCACTGATACGATTATTGCTATTTAAAGCAAAAGTGAGCTGCGCATAATACTGTCTACACAGAAACTGTGGTATAGATACAGCAGGACTCTTCTCACCAATTTCAAGGGGGTTGGGTTGTGATTTAAAATGATGGAATAACCTACACATATATTTTATAGCAGTCTGCCTGCCTAAGCTGTTTGCAGCCATGGCAAAAAAAACGTAAGGGTAATTATGATATCTCATGAGTTTTAGCATAGATCTCAGCATTGTTGGTAACACTTTACATGAACTGCTGGACACAGTGCTAATGTGTTCTCATAACAGTAAGTGAGACAGTTCATCAAGAAAGTAGTTAACAGCAGCCAGTAACTGAAGTTTCTAGAGGCTGTATGGAAGGACAACATTTGTATTGTTAATACACAACAGTTTCTATGGTCATCTTAGCCCAGACTTCCCACCAACTAAATTTAGCATCCGCTGATGAACTGGAAATCATTACTATTTTCTGTTTTGCTGGAAGTTGGACAGAACGAGTACGTTCCACATATGCATGTGGTTTCACGTGCACTTCGTAGTCAGGAGAAAACGTAAACTTTCAACACACCCTGAGCCTATCCAGTTCATGCCCCAGGACACCAGAACAGCAACACACAACACTAAGCAAGACAAGCCACAAAATTTGTACCAAGCTCTGGAGGATTCTATAAAAGTGACACTACCAGCCTCTTGCGCACAACTGGCTCTCTCACTGTATTTCACCTAGACATGTAGATCATTTACTACTAAGTTTAAAGGCCTACATACCTTTGCCAATTTTACCATTACCTGGGTTAGTTGAAAACCAGTTTTCATTGACATTCCGACTGCCTGCTGCAAACAGGTACAAAGGATGCACCCCCAAATACACACCACCATTTCCTACTTTTTCACTTCGCTCCAAACATACCTCAGGCTCAGCCTTCACTCTCCCAGCTTCAGTTCTGGTGCCTTCCAACACTGAGACAAGGCAGCTTCTCTAGGTACAAAGTGACACTTCCCCATTTCTTTGTGGCTCAATTCTGCTCTCTAACCAATTTGACCTGCCAATTCTGGAGGCAGGAGGTTGTGATCCAGGTTTCTCACAGGCAGCTTCTTACTGATTTACCTACACTGGCACAAACACACCCTTGAAGCTAGGACCTTTGCAATACTGCTTATTGCTGGTTTGCACATCTAACCTACCTTTGCACAACATGTGGCACAAGCATTTGGGACAGCAGCATGCAGACTTGCAGCTTGCTTCAAGAAATACTGCCAACTTAAGTAGGACATAAATGTTTTAACTTGGGAAAAAACAGCTCTTAAAAATGGCTTATCTGCAAATTGATACAACGGGCACAGAAATGTGGCTTCTAAGACTTGAGTATGCATAGGACAAGTTCTGTCTTGGTATTTTGGCTCATCCTGCAAAGAGGCAGAAACCAGATGCAACACAACTGTGCCTCCTGCTCTGTTTCACAGGGGGTGGTCTCAGTGCTTGTGTCTTGAAGTACCAAACAGCTATGCACCTTGCTGGAATTGGTCCCACTAATACATACTGCTAACTGCAGCACAAGCCACAAAAACGGAGAAAAAACAACACAGAAGGAAAAAGTAGCACCTTCTACATCACTGCTCTTAACTGACAGTTTCCTACCCTAAAATATCAATGCCTAAAATACCTGGAACATTAGCATTTTATGAGGTGTTCTAGTACAGTTACAGAAAGTACTTAACGACTCAAGATCTCTCCTTCACTGAAGTAGAAATGCTTTGTAAAAAAACAAATTGAGATAATTAGTCCTTGGCTACCCAGAGACACTGTGACTGAACCCTTTCAGTCTTTGCTGCATCTGAAAAGCATCAGTATGATCATATCCAAGTCTCCAAGAATGCTCCAAGAAATCGGTTATTTCTCTTCCCCTCCTTCACCTCATTTTGTCCTGCATATGGCCTTTATTCCCTGTGCCTTTTTCACATGGCATCTGACTACTACCAAATTAAGGCTTTCTATTAGGTCTCACTGAGACTAATATCTCTTGCCTAGGTTTTAATCTGGATTACAGAGAGAAGAACTGAACCTGAATTTAAATTAAGGCAAAAATTAAACAGGTAAGTATGGCATTTATTCTCGCAAGGTGGGAAAAAGGTAGGGCTTTCAAGAAAGTTCAAGACAGGATGAATTCCACTTCTGTTAAAATTAGAAGGTTGATCAGTCAATCCAATGGCACCAATTTAAAACTAATACAAACCAATTTTGAAAACCCCATCTATGAAATTACATCATTCTGTAGAATCTTGCAGTAATACAAAGAAATACAGTTAATCTTCCCACAAAATCACAACAAAGCAATCTAGGGATCTACTCTTTACAGTAATTGCTTTTTTTTTAAAAAAAAAAAAAAAAAAAAAAAGGTACAGAAACACTTGTGTTCTCAGTGCACTTCCTGTGCACACAGCCCAGGACAGCATACTTCCTGATCGCCCACAGCAGCAAACAGCAGCAAGCCAGCACAAACTCCAAACTTTTAGTTTAGTGCAGCAACAAATGGCTGAAGCATAGCTGAAGGGCAGTTTTTGTCACTGAAAAAGTCCTCAATTCTTTTTCTAAAAAGCAAGATTAGTAACCTAAGACATGAAAGAGCATCAACATAACCCAAACATTAAAAAAAATAAAAATAATGAGAATATAAAAGCCTGTCTGACTTTTACTAAAAGAAGCCCTGCTTTCACAAGTATTGTTGTAGCAAGTTCAATGCAGTTACAGGCTCATCCCTTTACATACCTGTTGATGAACTCTTGGAAAGAAGAAAACAGAAGGTAGTCAATGGCACTAAAATCTTGGTCCGTTTCATTTAAATGAAACTGCAAAAACACAAGTTCCTTTTTCTTCACATCACGAGGGCCTTGAACAACCAAAGCATACTTCTGTAACCAAACAGAAAGATGGTGAGAGTAGCAAAGGAATCCTCGTTTCCCGTTCATGAATTCACCATCTGTCACTAATACTCTATAGAAATCTAACACACACAAAGATTTTCTTGGCCTCTACTAAGAATATTATCTAACAAGAATGCCAAATGAATCCATCCTTTTAGTTTGAAAATGAAGTCTTAACATCAAGATTTAGTGTTTTTACTAAGGAATCTGCTTTAGTTCTACTGTAGCCCTTTGGGTTCCCGTGCAATTACCAGTCAAGGCCCTGCAACCTGCATTCTGCAGAAGGACAATCAAAACTGTTTTGAGCATTAAAGTCTAGGAACTTTCAGCTCTTGACATGAAACAAGTTCATCTGGAGTCTGATGTAGAGAACATCAGGTTTGTCCTTGAGAAAGAGGAAGTTCTACAGCCCGTGGCACCTCAAGTAAGCTGCTGAAAGTTAAAAAAACAAAAAACAAAACCAAAAAATGGTTGCAGGCAGAATACAACTTAAAGTAGTGCAGGCATTATATCAAACAGGGCTCTACGTGGTTCAGAGGTCTCTGCTTCAGTGTCTCTCCATTCAACTGCAGGACTACAGCCTATCAGATCAGCAAGCTTCTAAACGCATCTACCACGCAGCATAAAATGCAGGTTCTTAGTTTGTTAAAACATGCAAAAAGAGCATGTTAGTGGCAGAAATTAAATTAGACTTGCACCTAGAATATTACTTTCAAATATACTAAGGAGCTGCTTCCCAGAAATAAATGGTAACTAGACAAAAGGCAAAACATGAAGAGGAAAAAAGCTGACCAAACATGTACCTAGACTGTTTGTTTATTCACACTTAGTTTCCTTAAAAACAATCTCAGCAATCACTTTAGATAGAAATGACCATATTTAATACTTTATTTTTTGAATGCTTGTTTATACAGAAGCTAGATTCCCAGCATTTTTAAGGGCAATTTAAGACAGACAATCACTCAATGTACCCAATTTATTGGCTCACAGCATTGCAGTGTAAGGAAACACTTGGTGCGCAGTTAAGATTTTTCCAAGTGTGACAAAAATAGTATGTAATTCCCAGCAAACATACAAAAAGAGATAGGCTATCCTGCTTTCATGGAGTAAGTGCTACTGCTTTCAATCAAAGCTATATTTACTATATCAAGGAGTACGCTTGCCAGTTCATTTAAAAGAGGAATGAAGCGAGAGTTTCATTGTGAAAAATGACTTATTTCGTCCCATTCAAGTTTTCATGCTGCACACACCCACATGACAGCTGATCATCCATAACACATATACACACTGACTGGGGTCTTCTACATTTCTGAAAACAAAAGCACAGATGGCTTGAAAAAAAACTAGAACCAAGGATTTTTTTCAGCACTAAGTAAATATTTTCACTTTCAAATACTATTACAAGCAGAAAACTCCCACTGAATAAGCTTTGTTCTACTATATTATTATTACCATAGTTTGATTAGTAAAAGGATCTGTATAGTTGATTCTCTGAGTGGTGCATTCAATGTCTCCTGGCTGACCTGGATTTATCAGAGGCGGAATGTGATCGTAGTAATGATGCTTGCAGCTAAGCAGCCGAGCCTTGCCCGGGTAAAAGGCAATGCCTGTTTTGGGAGAAAAAACATTGAAGAGAGCTGATTTCTTTTCCAAGTACATAGATTTTCATTCTGGGATTTAATCCTAGAGGATACTGAGCTATCCTCAAGATCCAGCAAAACAATCAAATTAAACCACATGCTTCAGCATTTTTCTGGAGCAGGACAACAGTGTCAGCTGCATCAGGACAGAACCCCTGCGATGCACTAAAAAAATTAGGGTTCATGTTGTTACAACAATTCAAGGTTCACAGAAGCTAAGTTTCCCTAGTCTTCCCTCAAGGCAGCAGCTAATACATCAGTCCCTCTGGCCCCAAATGAAATGTGTAAATTAAGTTAGGAGACTATTGAAGTGAAATGGGACATATTTTGAGGTATTATCATTTAACATGTCAAATTTTAATTGGAAATAATGTTAGTACTATACATGACAGATCAAAGATCACTGAACTAATAAAAGTGAAAACATGCTCTTTAGAACATCTACCATCTTCTATTCACTAAATAAACATCACAATAAAAATCAAAGCCATCAAAAAAGTTACCATCCCTAACTGTTACCGTCTTATGTCACTAGGTACTTCACCTGCATGGAAATTCATATATACTATAAATCTATGGTTTCAGACCAACAGCATGCATTAAAAAAACCTTCAGTCACCTCAGCTGTAGAAAGATAGAAAAATAAAAGGCCCAAAAATCCCGTTATGCCACATATGCCGCATTTAGTATTGGAAACAAGCTTGCTTGAAGATAATCCAGACCAACTACCAAAAAAAGTACGATCTGAGTTACTAGATATGATTAGCTCACACAGCTAAGATGACCCGTCCACCAAAATGCAAGAACTCAAAGCAGTCAGCATATATCAGTCTAAAAATGCTTTATCCCTTTCTTCAGTGCTCCATGCTTGCAAATTGCCAACTCATCACTTTAATACAGCAATGAAGTAAAGCGCTACATTAATTTAGGTTCTTTGATCTGGCAGGGATCCCTGACAATACTTGTGGACTTATATGTATGTTGCTCTGCTTCTTTAAATGACATTTTCTTCCTATTTCTGTATGAAAAGCTCACGGGGGATGGGAGGAAAGAGGGGAAGCCTGCTCTTACAGTCAGATCCCTATGGTCCAAATGCAAGCACGTACTTACAGAGCTGAGTCTAACTGACCATACAGAAAGACAAGGAGAGGAATACGGCAACAACTTGAAACACTCACCTTTCAGCGACAATTACTGGAGTGGTTACTTGTAAAATGTGGTAACGCTTCAAACAAAAGTGTTATTTTTAAATTGGAAACTGACATATGACTGTGTGAGTTGCATTTGCTACCACAGCTCTATTTATGAATGGTTAATGGATAATTTAAAAAATAGTAACGATAGAACTCACTATTCAAAAATGCTTCTGTGGCGTAATCCCTCCTGCAAACTGCAACAGTTTTCTGATGCCACACTGCATTTTTATGCCAACATTGTTCCCTGCAGTCACATCATATTTTCACTGCCTACTGATGTAATACCAAGTTGTAAACAATGGAGAACAGAAGCAGAAAGTGGCATTGTGGTTATTTTGTGGCCGGTTTGAGAAATTCACCTTCTTTACTGTCAACAGCATCTCACTGTCCAGCGCAGCACTGAGGTCTTGATACATATGCTATGTGCTACCCTGTTTGAACGCCACAGTTTTAGGAATATTTCCATAATGAATTATCTACTTTCCCAATAAGAGGACTCATTCTAGAGTCTGCAAACACTTCTTATGTACCAAATTTTGTATGATGCTCCGCAGCTACTGTCATTCATGTTGTTGGCATGAAAATCCTCCAAATTTACATTTAGTCTTACAATATTCACATTTCCATGCAAAGTTAACACAGCATAGATTAGAAAAGAGGAAGCGAACTACCTGCTTCAAAGCATTATATGCACTCTGGGCCCTGGAAAATCAACACTAAAAATGTAAAACAACCCAAAATAAATGCGAACAACAATTTAACCCATTTTCTTTGTTACCAGTCTTACCAGGTGCATCGTACAAGGACACTTCCTTGTAAGAGACAGACATCACTGGGTGCTTGAGCTTCTCCCTGAAGTCACTGATGGTTTGGTAGACAAGGAACACAGCTACAGCCATGAGCAGCAGATAAATAAACAGGAGAATTACTGAAAAAACATTCTTTAGGCAGGTCTTGCTGAAACGCAAAGAAGGGGCAGTGGTACCCAGTTCACTATCTGGAACCAAACAGAATATGGATTAGGACTTTAAAATACAGATATTGGGGCTGAATTTATGTAGTGTTCATTTAAAGATTAATCACTTGAAAGGACAGTAAGCCTCAAACTCAGGTTGATTTAAAAAAAACACAACTAATGCTGGTTTTGATGATCAGTCAGACAGATGGTTCCTTCTCAAGCATGAGGCATAATCATCCAAAGATTGTGCTTCTTTTTCACATGTTGAGTTTGGCACTACGCTTAAGGACACGACAGACAGGAAACAAGGTTTGTTTTCAAGAAGGACAACTCAGAAACAAAGTTCAAAGTTCAGAAAAAAAGTCTGCTGATGGTCAATCTTTCCTCCTGGAAAAAACAACTCCTTTCCTGCCTCCCAATCTGAAGTGATTCTTACATACTCAGCATATGCATCAGCAGAGAGGTTTAATATTCTAATGCTCTTAGACAGCTATCTGCATTGCATCTCCATCATGGCAGAAGTTACTAGATATTTGTCACCCTCTCATTTTTGGACTCTCGTTTGTAACTCCTTGTGCATACTACATAAAGTTTCACAAAATTATTCTTCCAAATACAACTAGAAAAAGACCGACCCAATTCTCTCAGTCTCCTTGCCTTCAAAGCTTATTCTCTGAAGATCTTCACACTATTCTCACTTGTACACAGATACTGCTTTCCCCATACTCCTTGCATTTGCCATTTCTTTTGGCAATACTTGTAAGGAAAAAGTTCCTGTATTCTTTGAGTTACATGTCATGTTTTGATCGTGAGCGATACACAGCTGAACATGCAAAAGGAGTATTAAACCCCAACACATGAAAAGAGATAAGTAGGCATATTTTACACTGACTTTTCTGTGCAGTGTAATCTAACGAGTCAGGCCCTCTCAGGCCATGCCACGCTCTGCCCTTCAACTATACTTAGCATGCTTTGGTGTTTGTTCCTTACCACAGCAAACGCAAACATTTTAGTAAATCCTATTGAACACATAACCTCTTGCAAAAGCCCATGGTGACACACGTGTTCCCAAGTTCATTGCCAGGAGATGGCAGCCAAGGAAATTAGTACGTTAATATGCATAATATGCATTGCGCTATTGAAACAGGTATGTCTTAAACAGCTGCAAAGCATTTAGGGGATACTCATTTCAGGTTGGCCTATGTTAACGCCTACACCTGAGCCGCAATAAGCCCATTTAACATTGCCCCACACCCTCCAAAAGCAGGTCTGAACACTCTAACTAAAATCTGGTTAAAAGCACATCTGTCGAATAGTGCACCTTATTCGTGTAAATCCTGCACAAACTTTGCTTACAATCCACTGCCATCACAGACATTGCAACTCAGGTCAGATACAACATAAAGGAAGATGACATACTATGCTATCTCAGGACCAGATGTGCTGAATCTTCTTTGATTGAGCACAGTTCATGACAAAGAAATGTTTTCATCCCAATCCCTGGAGAAACTTCTTGGCTTTCCATCAGCACTTACTCCCCCAAATAAGTAAATAAGTAACTTAATGTTTTGTTTGCTTTCAGAAGTGCAATAAAACAAAAACCAACAACCAAACCCACACACAGCAGCAGCTTATCAGGCACTTAAAATCAGTAATTTCCGGGCCAATAGTTCTCACCTGGTAAAATAACAGAGCTGGCATCTTCATGAACTTCCATCTCTCCTTCTCTCTCATCTGTTGGGTTTTCAGATACTCGCTCCACATCTTCACTCAGCTGTGTAGTTAAAACAGTGGTTCAATTTCCAAACATGCTCTCAACTTGCAATTGCTGGAATTTCTATGGTACAAATAAAAGAGGCTCCAACTAACCAAACACACAAAAACATGCCCCCAGTCCAAGAGCACCCAACATCTGTTCCATTTGTTCACAAGACAGAAGCCACATTTATGTAGACCTATAGCCAAAAATTAAGTGTTTTGCATACTGCAAAAAGAGAAAGATGGCACATTAAATTTAACCTACTTCTACCCTGTTGCTTCAACAATAACATCACCTTTTCTTTCAAGATCAAAGTAATTGTTTCCCTGGCAGCTTCAGCTCATTTTAAAGCCCCAATTAGAGCAATGTCCTCTGAAATAAGCAGGAGATCCATTCTATTACTTAAGAACGTATTTTTAGGCATAAACAAACCACAGCACATACCTGCAAACAGAGTATTAGCACTTCTTAATAAAGAGGTGCATAAAGAGCAAGTTGCATTTTGACAGTTATTAGGGTAAGCAATTCAAATGCAGTCTCAGTCACATAGGTAGGTGGGTCATTAAAAGACAAGAGTCAGACATCCCTACATTTCTGGTACTTATTTTGAGCTTACTGTACATATTATTATATATTAGTGGTTATGCAACTAATTAGTCTTCCAGTGTTTCTAAAACAGTAACAGAGACCAGATGTTTTCTTATTTTGCTGTTCAGAGCTTTGGGCCCAAACTGCCAAGACACTTCCATCAAAATCAGAAGCTTGTCACATCAGATAGGTATCACATGAGATGGTGAAGCATTAGACTTTAATTATATATGTATATAAAAAATATCTCCTGTATGTTTTCCAAATTTCTTTCGTGGCAGGGACTGATATACAAATTACAACAAGGCAAACAGGGGCATAAGCTTGCAGCACAACCTGTGTCACACAGTAACTGTCCAAGCCAAACGCTCAGTATCACCTACCTGATTAGGTAAGGGAGACTAACTTTGTTCCTATTGCAAGGAAAATGGGGGCACAGTTAATGCAGCAGCCATACCAAATGCTATTAAACTTTACAACCCCAACTTACTCAACAGTAACGCGCATGTGTCCATAAGGAAGTGCTTTTATTTCACCCAACATTAATTCAGTATTGAAATCATCATTATACCATTAACAGATCCTCATTTGCACTTATTAAGAAAGACTCCACTCATTTTAAGTCTTCAAAGTCTGACGTAAAGTCTCCATCACCTCCTGCTGTATTTCTGTATTCACTTCCACCATGCAAAGCAAGTTGAAAGCAGTTACCCGGTTGTTTTTAAATGCTTTGCACATAAATAAAGCATCATTTCCCATGGTGTGAGGCATGGAGTTAAAAGGTAACTAATAGGCTAAACTCAGCTCATTGGCAGGAGGCTTACCAGGGCCCAACCAAAGATACTTTTTTCAATTATCTTCATAACATAAGGCAAAATTAACACTCTGCTCCTTTTTTCTAGAAACACACCAGTTCTGTTTGTTTACCTGACCCAAAATAAGCGATTCTAACACAAGAATATTCACTGAACCTCTTGTACTGGTTAAGCTAAACCAGCTAAGAAGCCAGTTCAAATTATACTCATGCTAATTGCTTATACCAGAGCTGATCCTAAAAGTTTAACGTAAGTTACAAAGTCACTGCAGTTTCTCAGCTGACTCACACACCACTCTGGTTCAGCCAGGGTTCCCCACATACAGGCACCTCATCAACTGGGGTTACGTAGAGTGTAAGCAAATTCTATTCCTGATAACAAGGAGATGCCAACACAAGTTTGAACAAGAACACAATATGCAACGTTTCTTATCCTCTCAAGAGGACCTACAACGACTCTTCAACACATAGGAGAACAGAAGAAAAACTCAGAAAATGGGGGTTTTTTGCATTCCTTAGAAACAAAACAAAAAACCAAACAATATGCAATTACGTTTTCTTATCTCTGCTCACAGGTCAGACATAATGTCATAAGCTTTCCACACATAAAACCAGTGAAGGACTGCTAATCAAAAGCAGGAGTGCTAACACTGCCTCAGGTGCAGTGAGTAGGTTGAGCTGATGCGTAAGATCCCCTAAAAACAGCTGAGACCACCAAGAATCTAGCTCTGTTCATGGCTCAGACACCACGTTCTTAGTGTACAGCATGCGGCACACTGACTCTACAAGGCACAACAGCACAAACCTACAAACCCAACAACTCACAGACATACTGAGCTACAATCTCCTAACAACTGGGAAGCCAGCACAGCATTATTGCATGACAGCTGATTTGAGTTTCTTCATACTTGACAGAATCCCCAAATCAAGGCAAATCACAACAGTGAACCTGGCATACATCAACCGTGTTCACCCTCACAAGCCGGCTCTTGCTTATTTTTGATAAAGAGGTGAAGTGTGGTGCTAATGCAGAAGGAACACAAACTTGCAAGGCAGTTAAGCTTGCAATAGGATGCAGAGATAGGATAAGATGTCAAGAACAGGAAGGGCACGAAACAGACCTTTGTTCAGCATTCCTCTGGGCTCAGCGTGTACAGCTGAGTGAGAAACAACTGCAGGATCCTGCCTGTGACCCGGCAGTTCCTTTTCAGTCCTGCACACAGAAAAGCACTGGACAAAGAGAAGCTCAGAAAAGGCAATTCAAAACATTTGAGCATCCCTACTAGAGGCAGGAGTATCACAGACTACCCCAGCTGCCAGAGAAGGGATGGAAACACAGCTGCTGCACTTACACACCATCTAGACTTGCACCAAGGAGTTTGGGACAATCCCAAACATATGGATGTGTATCAGTGGTGGCTGATACACAAGGCAGAAACTTAACATGTATAGTCGAGTCCATACTTCAGGCATCAATGCGACTTCACTAATTCTCTCAAGTACCAACCACCCTTACATACAAGCTCTTACAGGAGTTAATTTCATCCTGATAATCACAGGATAAAGCCTTTCTACTGGATAAAACCCTCTTAAATAAAAGGAGAACTTGTCCATACAGGCCTTTTGCTAGTTCACTGATTCATCACCTTCCAATGCCTTCTAGTCTGGCACAAAACCCAGAAGCTGAACCTAAATAGACAGTACTAAACTAAATTAGAACGTAGTAAACAAGAGCCCCAAACTACCTATCACATGCAGAGGAAGACAAACATCTGCATTCTTTTCGCCTTCAAGATGCGAGCAAAAGTGACCTGCTGCAAGTCTCCACCGCTGCTGAACTTGGCACAAATAGCTTGTATCTCTAGTATGAGATAGGAACGAGCAAGGCATTCCGGTTGCTGGAGCCTGTACATTGATATGCAAACTAGGCGCTGCCTCGGGCTCTTGGCAGGATGATAATGCGGCCCTTCAGTTTCATGTATGAGATCGCCGGTACCAAAGTCGCTTCTCACGCCCGACAGACCACCTCCTTGTTAGGAAAGCCCCAGTTACAGAGCTCACCGGCCAGCTATACCTAGCTCATACACTTTAACAAGTACTGCTACCGATTATTTTAACCACCTCTAAAGGTAAACCATGAAATGAAGCGCACCGAAACCACCCGTTTCTTTCTGGCGAGTACGGACGCAACCTGACATCCCAGCTACCCAGCGGTAAGAAGGAGGGCCAGGGGCAGCACCAGGCAGGTGAAGGCACACGGCCTCACGGCGAGACCCACTCGGCTCGGCCGCTCTTGAGCCGACGCAGAGG